TAGCCTGCTTATCATTATTAGAACTTCGGCATGGCTGGTTTGAAGCAAGCTGACCGCTGCTGTTTTGCCTGCTGTTGTCATCATTCTCTCAGGACTTTTCAGTTCGACTGAATGGAGTTTGCTTAGGCTGTCAGGAGGCAAACAATGTGCAGCGATGTACTTATTGGTAATGCTCTCGACATATGGGATCCATGTATAATGGCAGTGAACTACAACATGCCGAGGTAATTCCTTGACAATGATGTCGCAGTGCTTGGATGAGAGGACGACCTTTTCACACCAAGTATCTCCATGTTTTAGATGTGGAGGAGTGCATTGTCATAGGGTTGTAAGACAGCTCCTGCATCGCCTCATCAATGCATAGGAATGGGTTTCGAAAGTATTCGTGCTCCTGGCGTGTCTTACATCCAAAACAACTTACCCCCAAAGCAAGGAATAGCGCTCATCACAGTGTAGCTTTGGGATGTTAAGATGAGTCACGTGTACTACTGAGCACTGATCTAATGTCATGAGCGTTTACTTGTCCTGTTTTTTGATCCGAGAAAACTGCATAAGTAGTATAGCAGAGCCCTTCTTGACTGAATGCAGCTTCAAGTTCCCTTCCATCACGTGCCTCGTGATTCAACAATAATCAGTTAACAGCTCATGTGTCCATTCGCTCATTTCGTCTTGCGTCGTGTGCTTCGTAATTGCTCAGTTCACTGGACACTGTCCCTGAACTGAACTGTGGAGTGCTGCAAGGTTCACTCGTCGAACACCATATTGTGTTTATTGTTTACTTGGTGACCTTCCTTCATGTATGTGGTCATTCATGCAACATTTTTCCACTGGCTGCACGCTTGCTAAGCACCATTACCAGAATGAACAAGTTGTGCATTCATATGGAGGCTGCCTCTTGTGCACAACCTAGTAGGAAACGAGATTGCAGCTTCATTACTTGTATTTTTACCATACTTATGAAACGACCTTACTGTACAAGTGTGCAAGCTCAGGAGTTCCTTTTGGATCATCACTGCATATTTACATAATTTTTCTACCCAGGCAACTTTTAAAAGGATTTCGGTCTGTTTTTAGTGATCCATACCTTCTGTTGCATTGTGTTCATTGCTTGTGACTACATGTCAATGTTAAAGTTGCCGTGTTCCACCATGTGTACACCTCAAAATGGTATTGCTTTTACCTAATTTAGTCTGAACTTCATTTCTTCTAATGTAAGCCACCTTCATGCATTATTGTAGCAGGGGCCTTAAAGTATGCATAAATATTGGTGATAACTTGTTGACATCACATCGATTCATATTGACATGTCCACATGCTGATGTTAAGTGACCCAAGCTGATAGCAGAAGTCGTATAAAAAGATATAAAAGCTCTTGGGTATCTTGGGTATACGAAATGGCAAAGCCGTATGTGTCGTAAAAGCTGCGTTAGACACAATACTAATGAGCACTATTAGGCAATAATGCCAAAGAAGGCATAGGGGATGTTAATAAAAGTAATTGCAATGTCAAATGTGAAGAAAGAACAGTGGACGAAAAGATAACTGGCCACCGGCAGGGACCGAACCTGCGATCTTCGAATAATGCATCCGATGCTCTACCACTAAGCCACGGTGGGGGTCATTCCCTGTCCACTTTTTTAGAGGGTATATATGCGTATTAAACGCGGGACGAGAGCGTCGGTATGCGCGGCCTGTTGCCATGAGGACGAGTGTGGAGCACTTTTTTTTCTGCCTGTTAGGTGTCACGCAGCACGTGATCCTATTACAAGCTCGCAGCTGACCAATTATCCCTTGCATACTACCTGAAGGCACCAAGTCTGCAAGAACGAGACCCTCGCTATAAATGAGGAAAGAAGTGGGAATTTAAGGGCTCATTTTCTTTGTTGTTTGACAGTGACTTTGTAGACGATGCAGATGGTATGACTGGAGTAATGTTTACTTAAGTGCTCATGTTTTTCTGAGCTGGAAGAATAACTGAACTAATCTTACAATGTCAGCACAAAATAAACAAACAGCCTGAAGGTTCAAACGTATGTACTAATACACTTGGGAAGCACTAGAATATGTGCATTCAATCTTGCCACATCTCATTCAATTGAAGGACATTATGTGCTTTTGTTGAGCTTTACATCTGATGTATAAAGAAGCCTCAGCTATTTGATGCATCCTGTGCCCTCTGTGTTTCATAACAGTGCTACCAGTGAAAAACACCATATATGCACTCACTGGTGTGACAGTGGCTAGGTAAATGAGGGGGGGGGGGGGGGAGCCTTTAATGAAGTGTGGCTTTCCTAGAGGCGCACATTGATACACCGCCTGATGTGGGCTATGCACGCTTCAGCACAACTAAGCGGGACGCAGTGCCACTACCACCGGGCATGAGTGAACCTTGAGTGTGAAACAGCGAGCAAAAGCGGGGCAATAATTTACGACTCACAGGCGTAGCACTGGCACAGTTTAAATAAGCAGTGCCATATCAGGGATGTTGCATGTTTGTTATTTGCTGTTTATTGCTGGTTAAGCGATAATGAAGACTCGCTTGTTAGTTAGAGTTGCATCTGTGTTCTACTTTGTTCTATTTTTTTATGATGTTTCACACTAGGATGTTGAGCAAATGGCTCGCATGCAATCGGTAAGTTTTGATTTGTGCTTGGTCTGACGGTCAGTGTTCTGGGAATCAAGCCTTCCTCTGAATGCTTGATTTTTGACAAGTTTATATTCTGTTAATGAAAGAACATTTGTTTGTTTTACCTAATAGTTGAGTGATATAGCCCATTCGGGCACTTTGTCCACTTATGTGAACACTGCTTCTTAGTGCATGTTCACTCGAAAAGTTGCTGGAAAGAAAAAGAAATACTGAGACGTGAATAATTCAGTTTTTTGAAGGCATTACCATATTTGGCGAGATACTCCATGTGTTACATTCTGGAAGCAACGCAAAAAATACAATCCTCGTTGGCTCACAGTGAATAGAACCAGTCACAAATCGCACCCATACTTCATCTTACTTGTGATTCTCTATATGAAAAAGTAGGGCATGAGTAACTTCACAGTAAACTTGCAATTAATTATGGATCGGTACAATTTTTCGATCTTGCAATATGCAGGCAGGGCTGACGTTGAAAGTGAATTATTTTCTGCAAGTCACTTTTGACTTGCAGAAAGTGACTTGAAGAAAATAAGTCACTTTCAACGTCCGACCTACCTGCATATTGGAAGATTGCAAAAATTGTACCAATTCATAAGTCAGGAGACACTAATGTACCATCCAACCACAGACCAATTTCTCTTACGAGCACATCATGTAAAATTTTGGAGCACATTGTACTCAAGAGCTTAACCACATATTTTGAAGAAAACATTTTAATTGATGTTCGACATAGTTTTAGAAGAGGCTTATCGACAGTCACTCAACTTACAGAGGTGGTTCATGATCTCGCATTAAGTGTTAACGACCATAATTAAACAGACGCATTTCTGTTAGACTTCAGTAAAGCGTTTGACTGTGTGTGCCATACCAAACTAATTGCCAAAATTACTGCTGTGATTGGTGACGGTCTCATCACTGCATAAATAAAGAGCTTTTTATCTGATCGATCCCAATTTGTCACTATCAAAAACATCTCATCTTCTCCTGTGCCGGTGACTTCAGGCATCCCACAGGGCTCAGTAATGGGCTCGCTGTTATATTTGATTTTCATCAATTATATAACACGCACTGATTCTAAACTCTTCGCACACGAATGTATAATACATGAGAAAATACACAACAGTGAAGACTACGTTTTACTCAGTAGCACGTTAACGAAAATAAGCGATTTGTGTTACAGGTGGTAAATGAGCCTTAATACAAAATTGTCATTTTTAAATGAGCTTTCACATTATGTGATGCATTGTGTAGTGTGTCGTTTGTAGTTATAAGCAAAAACAGTTGTCAACCGGGGCTTATTTGCATCTATGTGTCTGCTGTCTTCGTCTCAGTCGTGCTGTCTGTATACAAGCATGAAACAACTCGTCCAGTTTCAAGAGCTAAAGTCCCTATCACAATGGACTCGCGCTGCTTACGAGAATAAAGAGCACCACCCGAGAAGCTTTTGTAGTACTGGGATCGCAAGCAGTCCACCATGGGTGAAAATGTGGGCCTAAGGCAGCAGATGGACATCATTTCCTTGAAAAATTGCTGCATTAAAAATACTTATTTCCTACAGGTCATGCAGAGCGACTCGCAAACCTTATTTATTTAACCAACACATCTCTACCAAACCTCGCCACTTAAGCTTTATGGCACTGCCCGCATGCAAGTGACTGCTCATACATAATATTTAAATGAAGCCAGCTGTTTCATTGCATCACATGAATCTGCACTATTTAGTATCTCATTACACACTTTATGCATATATTATAACACTCGGAACATCTATTTTCAAACAAGTATTTTAAGTGACAAGTGCAGTTCTAACTGCACACAGCACGACACAATCAGTGTTGCGCTGCGTATCGAGCAGACGACAGGGCGCGGAAAATTCACTTAGATGTGCTCTCCCTCCTGATTGGTTGAGAAGGCCTTCAGCTTCTACAGTGCTGCACGGAACTTCTGGAACAGAGTATAGGTCTATCAGGGCCAAAATAGAACACTATGAATAATGCCTTCCTTTGCTTCTTACGCACCTGTCGTTCATCGTGTCATACGTTGGTGCAACGTAGCCCCGCCGCGGTGGTCTAGTAGCTAAGGTATACGACTGCTGACCTGCAGGTCGCGGGATCGAATTCGGGCTGCGACAGCTGCATTTTCGATAGAGGCAAAAAATGCTGTAGGCCAGTGTGCTCAGATTTAGGTGTTCATTAAGAACCCCAGGTGGTCGAAATTTCCGGATTCCTCCACTACGGCGTCTTGGTAGTTTTGGGAAGTTAAACTTCAAATATCAATGAATCATAACTGTTGGTGCAACGTATGGCGTCGTAGCGGGATTGTGACACTTGGCCGCCTTGTTCTGCTGCAGAGGAGATAGCAGCCAACATCCGTGAGGAGATGCGACGGCTACAACGGCGCAAGCAGCTCTGTTTCCAGGGCGCTGACCCTGAATCCCAGCATACCAGTGGTCTCTCGTCACCAGTGCATCGAGACCAGCCCCTGTTCACGTTCCGCCAGGTTGGGCTCATTTGCGAACGAATGATGAAGGAGCGAGAGAGCAAGATACGGGAGGAGTATGACCATGTGCTATCTACCAAACTCGCAGGTGAGGCATTTACATTTTCACTCCTTACAATTCATTGGAATGAAAAAAAAAAAAAAAAAACTTGGCTCATTCCCACTCCGAGAGCAGTCAGGCAATTCAATTTCATTCCTCTAATCTCTCAACGCAGGAAAGGCATCTTGACAATTTTATCGAGTTGACAATCAATGCCCCTCGAAGCTGACATAATTAAATGCATAGGGACTGACAATTCTTGTCGACCCGTTTCCTTATGGTGTAGCAAATAGCTCACCCTTCGTAGTGTTTGTGGCTTCAGTAGTTAATCCGAAAAGCACATAGTTATTTTACAAGTACTATTAATCAATTTGAAATGCTCTAAACACGAATGCACCTTTCATTACTAAGAATTGATACCGATGCCGCCAGCCCTTCTTGCGATTTGTGAAAGCTGTTGTCATTTTGCTTTCACAGGAGTTTCTGAAGTGCTAAAGAGTTCTGAAAGGCGGGCGAGTTGGAACTTATTCATAATTGGGCAGCACACAAAAGGAAACACACAAGAGAAGACGCGAAAGTTTGTTTTGCAGAAATGTTGGTGTGGGCGTCGTTGGTTGTGAGCGAAAAATTATCTTGTACGTGACCGAAAAATCGCGAGAGGTGCAAATGAAATTAACAATAGAAAATTCTGGTTCTGAGTGAAGATAGAACGCAGATCGTTTGCATGGTAAGCATGGGTTTACCGCTGAGTCATTCCTTTGATTAGAAATAAAAATAACTTCCTCTGCATCGAAATGCCGTGATAATAATGTTCATGCTTTACAAACACATGCTCTGTGTACAGGCTTCACAATAAAATATGCATTATTGCATTAATATTGCATGGTACAAGCATCTATGGTCATATTGCATCAGAACAGGTGGCTATTATAACGTGTTTTAAAGCCAGCCACGCATTACAAAAGGCACTCATGTTACTGCGGGTATTCCCATAAGATCAGGTAGAGGGTGCATAGCAAGTTAGAAAAACGTTTAAAGTACCTAATGGACCATTTGCGGAAAAGTGAGTGCCCCCCTGTCGGCTAAACAGGAAAGCTTTGCTCGTGCTTTTGGTTGGAAAGCATCTTCGCCAACTAAAATGCTCAAGGCAGTGTTTAGCGGTTGAGGTGCGCCTGTTTTGTTGCTTTAGGGTCAAAAAGGCATACCCATGCTTTATCAAAAGGACATGGTAAAAGAAGAAAACATTCCGTTTACGTTTGCATAAACGTTTGTTAAACAAGGATTTTTCACATTTCAGCCTGAGCAACAACCAAGTGAGGTGATAGCTGCACTCTGCTATCTTGACTGTTCGCCAGGCTCATCGCACCTGCTCCTTCAAAGAACAACATTATGTTATACACTAGAAGCTGACCCTTGAAACGTCTGACGATGAACTAGGTTTGGTGAGGGCGACTTGGTGAGGTGTTTGCGTGAAAACAGCTGTGTTCGTCGTTGCTACGGGTCATATGATTGGAATGCGCTGCGACTATATTGTGCAGCAACCACTCTCCAGCCAGAGAAGTTAGAGGATCAGACCCCTGTTCTGCCTTCGTGGGAACAGGCACCAGTGTCGGTTCCTGGGGTGTTGGCACGCCATCAATGAAGGTACCAAAAGAAGTTGTGGAAGCGGCTCCACTTTGTCGCTGAGTACGTTGATGATTGCCACAGCTTCTTTTGCTGTATGTATATACAGTCAAACACAAATATATTGAACTCGAAGGCGATCACGAATCAGTTAGATATGTGAAAATTTTGATATAAAAATAAAGGCCCGAGAGCTTACCTCCAGCGGATCATCATTTACAATAAGGGCATACAACAATAACTCATTCCGCACGCACGCCGCAACAGAATGATGTATTTGCGCCGCCGCCACCTCAGCGGCGGAGTACGCACATGTAGCTAGCGCCTCGTCCAGACGATTTCCTCGTCACATGAGCTGTCGGCCTAGACATTTCAGTCCGCTTACACAAACTCTTCCGCAGACACTTCATGTGGAACTGCTGCCGGGAGGCGGGACAACCACTCGTGAAACTTGTCTGTGTGCTTGACATCGTCGTCTTTACTGGTTTCTGCAAGTTCCGCCGTCTTGAAGCCTGCCTTGCGGAAGCAGTTGACACCTGTGCCCGTCTTCGATGTGCGAATGTGTGAGGCAGAAGCGTGCCATGATGCTGTGCGGCGACGGCAACAAGATCCCCACAGACAAGGATGGGAGGCCGAAGCAGCGCTTCGGTCTCCCGTTCTAGTGAACTAGAACATATTCAAGTGGCAGAACCAACCGGGCTTTGGCGTCCTCTCTTTACATAGATGCGACGAGACAGTGCCACTTTCTTGCGGTTTTGTCTGCATTGCAGGACTGTCCTAGGCTCCTTCAAACATTTAGCTGTGGTTAATTTTAACTCGTGTGTTTGCTTTCTGGTTCTTCCAAACATTAAACAGCCAACTTGCTTACTCTCTCACTCGGAAGTTTCATTTTGGCTAGATACATATTTTTTTTCATATTTACTGCACGTGCTCGGAACTTGTGTTACATTTATTTACTTCATTTATAGGAGCGCCTGATTTTTTTTTTATCACAGGAGGGTCTGTTTTCTGTGCACAGAGTTTTCTAAACAGACATAACGGTCATGGAATTTGCTTATATAGTCATGGAAAACCTGGAAAAGTCGGGGAATTTCGAAAAAGCGAATTGGTGGACACTCATGTTTCGTGTTCAGAGAAGTTGTCGGTTCCATTAAGCACTGCAGAAGTAAGCAAGATATGTTACCGAGGTCGAGAGATAGCAGCTTAGTGACATATTGTAACAAGTGTGGCAGCCTCACAAGGATGTTCTATTTACACGGTTTATTAAGGGCGAACTTGTGCCCAAAGTGGACGACGCACAGCAATTAAGAAGATCCGAAGGTCGGTAGTCCTCATGAGCCCCTGCCTCGAGCACCCTCGTTCTCTTCTTCACATGCGTTGGCTGTTCGGTGGAGTACCGTGCGCATGCAGGGCCGGCTCATACATTGCGGCTGGCTTCATCGCTCATAGTCGTGCCGTTAGCGTTTCTCTATGTTCCTGGCGTCTGCGTTGCGCAGAGCAATGGCTATTTCCTGTGGCATTATCCCCCCTCACAAGAGCCATCGCCCCGATGCTTTCGATGATAATGTACGGAGTGTTTCCGTTCCGGAAGGTTTGAAAGAATGAAATGGTTGTACAGCAAGCGAGTGCAGTGGCTAGTCTTCGTATCGGTCGTAGTACGGTTTCATGCGCACAATGTGTACACGCTCGGTGGGGTTGCGTTGTTTGGAATGCCCGTGTCCTGTAGGCTTGATTTCATAAACGAGGTCACCGAGTCGCTGTACTACCTCGTAAGGACCAAAATATCGACAAATGAGTTTTTCAGACAGGCCTCGTCGTCGTACTGGGGTCCATATTCACACTTTGTCGCCAACTTCATAACGTGTTTCACGTCTTCCTCGGTTGTAGCAGTGGGCATCGATTCGTTGGTGACATATTCGATACCTTGATAAATGGCGGGCCTTTTCCGCTCTCTCTATATAGTCGTCAAGATCAGAAGGGTAGTCATATATACAGGTAACGTATCGTCAAGTGTTGTGGTAACTGCACGACCGTAAACTAGTTGAAACGGGGTAATCTTTGTAGTCTCTTGTACGGGGGTGTTATAGACGAAGATGACGTTTGGTAAAATTTCGTCCCACTTTTTGTGTTCGACATCCACATACATAGATAACATGTCAGCTAGAGTTCTGTTAAGGGGGGGCGCGGCAAGTAAAGTGCCGATTTTGGTCAAAATATGCGATTTTCTGATTTATTTTTTTTCGTAATCTTCAGACCTTCAACTTCCTTGTTCTAAAATATTACAGCGAAACGTGCGCTACAAATCCCGCAAATAGTGTTTTTGCCGAGGCTAGTCGCCGAAAAGTGCGAAAAAAAAGCCCCTGAAACGGTGTTGTTCACGCCGCACAAACGCGCCAAGTTGTTGACCGTGGGCCGCCGTTTTGGTAGCTTTGGAAAGAGGAGAAAGCCGGCTTCCTGATGGTCGCGGTCTCGTATTTCGCCGAGTGAAAATAAAAGCGCGAGGAGCAAGTAAAAAAACGAAAACGAAGAACGGCAATTGGCTGCGCGGGTCACGTGGTAGCAGGCGCGACCTCTTACTGGTCAAAGCTGCGCCGCGCACCTTGGCAACCTTGGAAGCGCGAGCGCATCTGCGGCCGCCGTGTCGAGAATCATCCGGCGTGCGCTTCGTTTTTTGCCAGTTTGCTGTTTTTGTGATAGTTCGCGTGCTTTTTTTTACCAAGCTTTGTTTACATCGGTGGTCTCTTCTGAGTGCTTGCTCATACTGCGGTGCTATGTTGCCGCAAAAAAAGTTCCGGAGCGTCCACAAGTACGGCAAGCGTCGGAAAGCTTGGAACAAAGGGCAGACGACTGCGGCTGCCGTCCCAGTCGCAGTTCCGGACGGAGCATGCTCTTTAAGCGTCACGGAGCCTCTACTCAGACCCTTCGCTGATTGTTGTGAGGCCGAGAGTGTGGAAGGTGCCACATCGTCGTATGTCAGACCGCCGGATGCCGTCGACCGTGACGGACGCTCTCGCAAACCCGCTTGCGGTGGCACCGCGTCGGCAGCCGTTGCAACTCCGGGCGTGCGCGCGTCGAACATTCTATCGCGAGTTTCGGCCCAGATTCCGAGCAGTGAAGAAATCGCGCAGCGGGCGCAGACAAGGCGGGATGTTTTGGATGCCGTAGCATCGAAGTCCGCTTCAAAGCGGAAGCTCGAGCTTCTGAACGAAGGCTGCGACGAAAATGACGGCGGTAAGGACTCCACATTCTTCATTGTAAATAAGAAGATGCTGAACGGTCTGCTTTCGTCAGTAAAGTGCAACAAGTGCGACGAAGGGTCGATACGCCTCGAGACTACGCACTGCCTTGGACTCGCAGCGAGGATGGAACTTTTTTGTGACAATTGTGGCAGAGTGAACAGTGCGTGGTCGTCCCCGAGGTGCTCC